GCGCGCGACTAGGTGGTGGGGTCAGCCGACCCCACCTGTCATCCACTCGCATTGATCTTTGGTTGTTTGTCTTTGACGGTGGATTAAAGGTCCTTGGAGTCAATTTCATCGTGGATAATCGTTTATTACACTGACATAGTATGGCCCACATGGTCCATTTTCTGGATAAATTAGCCTGCATACAATTCACCAAAACTTGTGGAAATCATTAGTTTAAATTCTATTTCCTATGGTGGTGATTGATCTTAAGGATAGATGTAGATTCAATTGACGGTTTATGTTTATTGTAGAGACCGTCAAAAGACACTAAGCAAGAAAGGGATGAAAACACAGGAAAAACTATGAACAAACATTACAAGGCATTGAGCCACTGCTAGATGGAGAAGTGGAGGCTTTCCTTGATCTTGAGAAGGTGCGCAGTTACTTCCTTCTTAAAAGCAAACTTCTAGGAACCAAGATTAGGAATCCTTCCATCAAAGATTAGAGCATTTCTTTCATTCCAAATACACCAAGCACCTATCATAAAAACTTCCATGAAGAATGGCTGCGCTAAGATCCCCTTAGCAGTAACAAGTTTCTCCTGTATATTAGCTTCCTCCTCCCAAATAATACCCAAGGAAACCATCTGGTGACAGCAGAAGGACGGTGAAAGAATAAATGTTCAATAGTCTCCTCCACATTGTTCTAGCATAGAACACAACAGTAGCCTTCCTCTAAAAACTTGTTTCTTCTTCTTTGCATATTTCTAGTGTTGAGCCTATCATTTAGTAGAAGACAAACGAAGAACTTGATCTTTAGAACACATCTGGCCTGCCATATCCATGTGACAGCTCTAGGAGGATGTAGAGATGCAAATTGGTACTAATAGTACTTATTGGATGAATAATTCTGAGGTCCCCAAATGAAACTCTAGCAGTCATTGGCATTAGGAAGAATAGGCTGCATCAGAAGAAGTTCATCCTTCAGTTCCAAGAACTTATTGTATGCCTGTCTAGACATTGGGATTCTAAAGCAGCTTAATAAAGAGTCTGCATTGCTGAACTTCCAAAGAGAAATTCCTGGTACTCTTGCAAATTCAAACAGATTGGGATACTTCTATGAGTGAATAACACCAAATAAAAGATCATCCCAGAAGCTAACAGTATCACCTTTGTTTTGGGTGCAGAAAAGCAACACCTCTATACTGAATGTGGAATCTAAGAATATCCTTCGACCAAAACGAACCCTTCTTTCTTCTAAGATGAGGAACTCCATCAAGGTAATATTTCTTCCAGATGAGTTTAACCAACTGAATATCCTCCTTATAGAATTTATCTAAATGCTTCAGCAGGAGAGCATTGTTTTGGAGACTTAAGTTAATGATACCCAGACCACCTTTGTCCTTGGGCTTCATGACAATCTTCCAAGCTCCCAAGTTATACCCTTTTTTCTGAAATCACTCCCTCTCCAGAGATAGTTCTTCCTATTTTTGTCAATGATATCCACAAATGTGACTGGCAATTTCAGTGAGCACATGTAATAGGCTGGGAGGGAGGAAAGCACAGAATTGACTAATTACAGTCTTCCAGCATAAGAAAGGAATTGTGAACTAGTAGACAATCTTCTTTCAATTCTATAGATTAGGGGAGGCCCTTGTTCTTGATCTTATTCGCCTATGTCGACTAGTCCTCTCGAATCAATACTTGAGCCCAGATTGATATACTTCATCTATATTTGCAATGTCAGCTGATTGTGTTCTTCACATTCTTGCTTGTGTTCTCTGTTCGCTTGTAGGAAAATCTTTCTAGGCAAGGTCAATCGCGTTGTGGGTGGTTGATAACCAATGGAGTTGTGGGTTTAGTGGTTGCAGGGGTACAAATCGTACTTGGTTTCAACCTTGGATCGGGAACATCGAGTATCCACACATGGAATCTATCGTACCTATTGAAAGATCGGTCGATCCACGTCTCCATCAGTGACCATACAATGCTTTGATCTTTGTTAACTATAATGTTGTGTGGAAACATGTGTTGTACTAGCATTTAGATAATGGCAACCCAGAAGACACTAAACTAGGAAATCATGAACAAAGCACTACGTGTAAGTCTAGACACATTGATTGATATGTTCTATATATCCATCCGTCTGAGGCTGGTACACCAAACTCATGCTCATGCACAAGGTTGTACCACTACGCTTTAACATAGCTTGCACAAAATGATTGTGCAAATACGATCATGGTTAGAGATCATAGACTGGAGTATATCGTGGAGTTTGTAAACATGATCCATGAATTTGTGAGCAAATGAGAGAGTACTAAAATGGGGAGATAGTGGTATGAAGTGGCATATTGAGTGAGTTTATCAACCACTACAAAGATGAAGTTCTAGGTATTGGAACAAGGTAAACTACATCAATGACGTTGTCGACACGGAAATTCGTCCCGTGCCGAGGGCACACGAGTAAGCCGAAAGGGTCCGCTCGATGGAGCTGGAGATCCACCTAGCTTCAGCGCAGGGATGGTCGATTCTGCGCACTCCTACCGAGACGTGCCAGTCAATTTGACCCTGCAATTGACAAGGAGAGAGTTTATCAGTAATTTAGGGCGAAACGTGCCGATGTTGTCAGACAATCCCGAATGTGGGGCTCTGAGAGCCAATATGAAAGGACATCGACTAAATAGTCGATTCCAGCATATTCATAAGAATAAATCAGTTAAAGGCCGTGGGGTTGTGTAAGAAGAATCGGTTATTGTTCAGGATGAATATCATTACATAAACAAATATTGGTCAATGGCAATAAGATGTCAACAATAATTGGTTTATGCTAACCCAATGACTGCAAGTAACCGAACCTCTTTTATATAAAAGAAACAGTTCATCACCATTCAACCATTTAATAAAGATAAATCTAATGAACATATTAGATCTCATCTATCGCTATGACCAGTGGGGCATGAGGCAGAATCATGCAGGCCGTAGAAACAACAATAGACTCGACGACCCTAAGTTATCACTAATATCAGTGGGGCATGAGCAGAATTATGCAGGCCGTAATACAATAATAAGATCATGGGGCTAACACTTCTTTCAACCTATCTCTACTTCAACGATCTCGTGATGTGAACTGTTCGTGAAAGCTCTCGATATCGGCTAAAATAGCCGATTCAGGCATAGCGCACAGTTAAAGTCATGCCCTCTCAGGAACAGATCTACCAAATAACGATCCCCACTCCACGGTGCTAACAGTGGGGTGTGAGGCAGGATCACACATGCCGTGATAACAGGCCATGGAATAGTTTTCGCTAGCCAATAGATCTACTCAAGATCAGACATGCCTTAACCGCACGCTATGCACGATCAAGATTGATATAAAACAGCCGATAAAACATAACTCATCGTTTAAAGCGCAGATTAGATCAGTTTAGATTAACAAACGATGGGTTAAACAAGGTATAAGGCCGATCTAGATCAATCTCAATCGGGCGAAGTGATATTGTTGTAATTAAATAAATAATGGAAGCAATAAGCAATATCGGTAACTTAATGAATCTATCCGAAGGAACGCCACCCTTAGATAGAGCCGATAACTTGACCTTAATCTAGTTCGAGCAGTGGAGGTCGACCGGATCGATGTAGCCTTACTTGAACTAGACAAGAATCGATAACTAACTTATACCAGAGTCGCAGTGGAGGTCGACCGGATCGATGCAGCCGTACGAACAGAGGTATAAGCCATGATGGTACTTACAGACAAGCAATGGAGATCGACCAAATCGATGCAGCCGTACTCGCTGAAGAACTCGCCGAGATCTACTCTACTCCTACTCCTAAGGGGTGGCCGGAGCCGAAAAAAAGTAAGTAACTTGTATTGGATTGATTGTGTCTTTTACAATAGCCGGGGTCCACTATTTATACCTGGAGCCTAAGCACGAATCCTACTCAAGTCCGACTCGGAACAATCTTTGGTATGAAGAAAATATTCCTATCTTAAGATAACTTGGACCCTAATATTTCTCCTTTTGTAGAGTCCGATATGTATTTTCCTAACGCCGATCGCGGTTCATTATCGTCATCTGCTGACGTCATTTAAAGAGAGCCAGTTCCAGTGTCGCACCCGAACCGGCTGATATCGATCCTCATGCAACCGATTCCTTGATTGGCACAAACATGGAACCCTGCGAGTTCTCGTGTTCTTCTCCCAAATTTGGGTGTATATAATCATCTTGTTTAGTTCTAGCCTAGCAAAATCTACAAGATCTCGGTATTGTGGCTGAGCTAACTCGGAGGTATTATCATGATATTTTCCATCAAAGTGAATTATTTCTTTCACGATGAACTGGGACATGACCAGTAGCTTCCATGAAAGCATTGGAACATGAACCATACTTGCTTGCAGTTGGACGGCAAACAGTACCCCACATAGTAAACTTGTGGATCTTAGATCAAATAAAGTAATGCACATACTGTGACGTACAGTTTATTCGTTTTGTTATGCCTGACTCATCATTCGTTAAGCCAGTGATCTCTCCCAGACAGAGATTATATTCAGTGTTTTTCACTGCAGGGGGGCAAGTAAGCTGGACTGAAACGCATCGATAATCCATAAGATGACACATTTGATACGGAACTTAGCTTTACTCTATAAGAACGAGCGACGTACGACGACGGCCCTGTTTCATTCACTAGTACGTACGCTAGCTTGATATCGTTGGAGTTTGATGAAACTAACCATGCATCATCGGATGTGATACTGCATTACTTCCAGGACTGAACATTAATTCATCGCCGCCTTGCACGAAATCAGCATCCCATTTAATTAAACTGAGCTTGGATCCTTTTAAGAGTCCAGCAAGCTTCAGTTACCTACGTGACTGATAGTAAATTTATTGCAGTTGCACCCTATATAAATACCACTGCCTCACTACTCCATTTCGCATCTCCATCTTATACGTAGCGGCGATCGATCTGAGTATCTGACCATCTCGATCACTAGGATCAATCCGTCACTCACTTGCAATAATGGCTGCTCTGAAGATTGCCACCGTGTGCATGCTGCTCCTGTTTGTCGGCTCAGACCTGGCGCGCCCGGCCATTTGCCTTGCATCATCCCCCGATGATCAGGAGGCCGCGGCCGCCGGCGCGCTGCTGCGGGAGCTCCTGGAGCGCGAGCTCACCCAGAAGCTGAGCCTTCTTGCTGAACAGCACGGCGGCGACGTCGGCGAGGTCTGCCCTCCCGCGTGCCAGATCTGCCTGATAATTTGCGCGATCACCTGTGCTCTCAACCCCAACCCGGCAACCTGCTTCGCCAACTGCACCGTCGCCAACGGCTGCTTCACCAAGACTTTGCCGGTCGCATAAGCCTGCATGCGTGCATTGCTTTGAGTCAGCCAAGTGTTCTTAGGCTTATCTCGTCAGATTGGTTACTGGTACCATGTGATTGTGTCTTATTTGTATGTGCCCTGTACGGCGTGTTGCTACAAGTTTACAATAAGAACCTGTAGGAGGCACCAGGTTGGCCCGTGCAGACGTCCGGCGGGGCTGGACGGCTCTTGGGAACTGTAGTCGTTGACCATCGTCCTGATGGTTACTCCGTATCAAATGAATGTAAATGTGCTTGTAAATGTGTTAAATCAGTGTCCTCGTTTGTGTGACTGTATAGTTTGTATGCAAATAACAGTCACTGTTTTATGCGGCTACTCTTAACGATGTACTTCTACGAATATATTATGGCATATATGGGTTGTATGTATATACGTACACCAATCTTCGTACTACTTACATTTGTTTTCTGTTAGAGCCGAAGGGGATACGAAATAGATCTTATCTATTTTCTACACATAATTTAGCTCTAATAATTAATATATAGAGAGAGAATATATCGGCAGGTTGATCTTCGATGCCCACACTCTCAATTGAAATGTCACCCTTTTGTTGATGGTATCTTATGAAATGATAGCGGACATCAATGTGCAGTGTTCTTGCATGTTGAACCGGGTTGTTGGTGAGCTTCACGGCACTCTTATTGTCACATAGCAGTGGCACTTGTTTGAAGTTGATTCCAAAATCATCCAAAGTAGCTCTCATCCAAAGTAACTGAGCACAACAGCTACTAGCGAATATGTATTTGGCATCAGTGGATGAAAGTGCAACACTATTTTATTTCTTTGATGATCAAAACACAAGTCATCTTCTCAATAATTGACATGTGCCCGATGTGTTCTTTCTATCCACTTTGCATCCCGCATAATCGGAGTCCGAATATCCAACTAACTCAAAGTTTGGCCCCTTAGGATACCACAATCCAATATTTTGTGTATACTTCAAATATCTCAATATTCTTTTTATTGCCTTCAAATGACTTTCTCTTGGTGAGGCTTGAAATCTAGCCCACATGCATACACTAAATATAACATCCGACCTTGATGCGGTTACATAGAGTAGGCTTCCAATCATAGACCGATATAACTTTTGATCCACCATATTACCACTAGCATCACTATCCAAATGCTTATTTGTCCCCATAGGTGTCACACCCCAAAATTTCCGATTTTGGGTTATGAATACAAAACATTAAATAAAATAAATGGTTTAAATATTTGTATAAAATTTATAAAGGTCAAATTAAGTTTTTGCCAATTTAGATACAGAATAGTGTGGTTTTCTAAATTAATTTGACGGGCTTTTGTTGATGTGATGCTTGTCTGTTGCTTGTTTTTGGTGATTTTGTGTGTGGTAAGTTTTAAAAACACGTTTAGACGTCATCCGATCCTTCCCGGGAATTTTCCGGAGCCTTTTCCCATTTTCCTATAGCTTAATAATCCAATTTTTGGATGCTCTAAAATCTCTTTTTATGAGCTCCAAATACTTTATTTGGATTCATCATCATCTTTCAAACTATCTCTCAAAGTTTTCCTTCAATTTTTAGAATTTAGAAACATTTTTCTAGGATTTAAAACGATTTCAGATTTTTCTGGAATTGTTTTTGAAATAAAAATGAATTTCTAGAATTTTTGAAATTAGAAAAATACCTCATTTTTTCAGCGATCCAAAACACTGACACTATATATATATGCCGGTGTTGTCCTTGATGCGCTGGTTCCAGATCTGAAATCGCTTTGGCGACCCGCCACTACTACACAAATGATTTTAGGAGGTGTCCAAACATTAACGGAGGCAAGTACAAAATCCAACCGCCTCCAAAAATATCGAACGATTAACGGAGGCGGACGTTTTCATTTATGGAGGCGGTCACATTTGTCCGCCTCATAAAATCGGTTTACCGAGGCGGTCAAAAAATCCTAAAATCTATTTACAGAGGCGGGCCTATTAAGAAGTCTGCCTCCAAAAATATAGGCCATTTTCAGAGGCGGACACCTTATAAGGCCCGCCTGTGTTAATATGGCCGAGGCCCAGCGAGACCCATTATATAATGCCTTAGGGTTTCAGGATCGCTCCACCTCTCTCTCTCAACCCACAACCAGTCGCCTCCCTCCCTCTCTCGCACAGGCACAGAAGCGGCGCTCACGGCACCTCCCTCCCTTTGGTCCTCTCTCTCTCTCTCTCCAGGCGCTCTAACGGAGGCGGCGCCCTCTCTTCTCCCTCTCTCACGGCCGACAGAGGTGGCTGCTCGCCCTCCAGTGGTGGCGTGGGCCTACAGCGATGGCGCGCCCTCCAAGAGCGGCGTGCCAGCGAGGTGTACCACCGGCGCGCCTCCCTCTCCGGCGTAGAGGCGAGGAGGAGGCTGGCCACGTGGATCCGACGACGAGGAGCCTGACCGTGCCCGGATCTGGCGAGGAGAGACTGGTCATGCCCGGATCGGGCAAGGAGGAGGCCGGCCGTGCCTGGATCCAGTGGCGGCGCGAGGCCACAGCTCCTCCCTCAGCCACAACTACTGCATCGGGGCCAGATCTGGTCCCTCTCTCTGGATCTGGCCGGATCCGGTGATGGACATAGCGGCGGTAGTTTAGGTATGCCCTCCCCATATTCCTCTCTCTTTCCCTCTTTATGTCCCTCGCTCTTCTCTCGCTCTCTCCCCCCTTTGCAGATCTGGGCGAGGGACGATAGCGGATGGCAGCGGTGGATCTCAGCAGACGATGGCGGTAGATCTGGGAAGACGACGGACGGATCTAGGTGGAAAGGCGGCAACTCCAAAAGCTAGATGGCTCTAGAACCTAGATTTATTTATTTATTTATTTTTATTAATGGAGGCGGGCGTTGTAGCCTGCCCACCTTAGAAGCAGACATTTACCAAGGCGGACGATTTGACCGCCTGCGTAGTTTCATGATTTACCGTGACCTTCTAATGGAGTCGGACAGAATGCCCGCCTCCAGAAATGTAAAATGCCCGCCTCCATTAAGTTTTTTTTACTAGTGCGCCACCCAAAGCGTCCCACATCTATCGCCCAAGTGGTGTATGTCTAGGTTTGCGGTGAACCTTCGGCAAGCTTTTTCGACCACATCTTCCATCTCTGGCAAATTTTGCTTCCACCCGGTGGTTTGTCTCACTGCGATCTACAGCGTCATGTATTCCTTTTCACGAATCCATGCCCATTTAACCATTTCCCATCTCTTCTTCTTTGTCTCTGGTGAGGAGCATCCATGACCGGCACCGTCTTCTGTTTCTGGCCAACTCGGCCCCTAGCCACGCTGTCCCGGCCCCGGCTTGGCGCCGTGACCACAGGCCCCATCCGCGCCCCGGATCCCATCCCCGTGGCTTCTCACGCCCTACACAGCAGGGAGCTTTTTGGAATTCGGCCATTATGGGAAGTGGGCTTCGCCAAAATGCCATCCCGCAATGGGGCTTTACCGGATCGCCATTATGAAACATGGCCACCATGCCAAAATGCCATCGGAGAGCTTTGGGACTCTTTTCTTCCTCTTCTACCCCTGCCCCTTTCCTTTTTGTTTCATAGGATGCTGCTCGGACGGAACGGAGGCGTCGCAAAACGGAACGAGCGCTCTTCTTCTACTAGCGCTCATCTTCTCTGAGCACGGCAAGCTCCCCACACCCACCCGCCTCCCCACACCGAGCACCCCCACGCCCAGCGTCACCCGCCTGCCCCGCACGCCATGGCCGGCCCCTGCTCACCTTGGCCACATGACTGCAACGCCTCCCCGTCACCGTCCCCCACGCCGGACATGGAGTACAGCACGACAGCGACGCACCCAAGGCCGGCCATGGAGAACAGCAGGTACTCAGTACCCCCAAGGCCAACCATGGAAGGCAGGGCGCATGCACGCCTAGAGAGGACAGCACGCAGAGGGGAGGAAGCGTGTGGAGAGAGGCGTGTCATGGGAGAGCGAGCTAGCTGTGGGAGAGGTAGGCCGCCGTGGGGGGAGCTCGCCGTGGTAGAGCGCGCCTGCTCGCTCCTCTCTTGACACTCAGAGAAGCAGCAGCAGCCTGCTCGATCCGTTTCTGCGCCCCTCTGTTCCGTCCGTGCGAGCTCCGGTGAAAGGGACAGGGGCAAAAGAGGAAGAAAAGGGTTCCAAACTCATCGGATGGCATTCTAGCGAGTGGGTCGTGTTTCATAATGGCAAGCTGGTGAAGCCCCATTGTGGGATGGCAAATCACCGAAGCCCACTTTCCATGATGGTCAAATTCCAAAAGGCTCCACAGCAGGCACCGTTGTCGGCTGTGCAGGCTCGGCCGTGCAGGCCCTGCGTCGGCCACCGTGACACCCGTAACACCTTGGCGCCATAAAAAGCCCAAGATGTCACTAACGTCACTTCCCTTATGCCCGAGTATAAAACTCAGCAACAAAAACCCAACATCAAAGTAAAGTGCAGAAGCAACAACAGGAACAAAACTATAATTAAGTAAAGCTCCAACTTAAACATTTTTATTAAACCATGAAGGATCACCATGAAGATAATCTAAGTTCACTACAGCAAGCCAAGAATGCCATTATTATATCTAAATGTGGGTAAAATAGTGAAATGTGCCGCTAATCCCATCCCTTCCTGCAATCATCCAATTGAGCACCTGGAAAGATAAAGGGGTGAGAATAAATCTCAGCAAGCAAACTTCCTGATCATATCATTCAAACTACAAGTTAATTAAGCATCAATTTAAATGTCAAAGACATGATAGCATAAGAAATTAATAATTTATAGTCAAATTATTTATCTAATGTCAGTAGCATAAAGAAGTAAACAATATCATGATATTCAAAAAATAAACCACCTCTTCAAATGGAAAAAAACTCCTCATATCCACAACTTCAATGCAAGTATACCTCAAAATCAGCAAATACAATGCATATGCATGTCCACTGCCTCCATACACAACAAGGTATGAAGCTGCATCGTACCCCTCCTCGGGCAACTTACGATGCTCTACCGGTACGGTCGAGGCCAGC